ATTTTATTTTATTTTATTTTATTTTATTTTATTTTATTTTATTTTATTTCACCTTTTGCCGAGGTGCAAACAGCAGCGCTGGCCTCGAGTGCTTCGTGTTCTGATTTTCCCATCTGTGCTGCCCCTCCTGCCCTAAGTGGAGGCTTCTGCATGGATTAAATGGGTTTAGAAAATGTGCAGTGGAGAAAACACACGTGTTTGGAGAAGACCTGTGAGGAGCAACACTGTGCATGCAGCAGGGCACCTTGTTCCTCTGCCTCAGTGCTGGCTCTGAGGTTTTGCTTTGGTTTCTCATTGCGCCTGGAACCAGGGCCTGGAGCTGGCAGCTTGACACAGTTAGTTAGTTAAGTGCAGAGGGGCTGAAGCGCTAATGTGGCGGTGCTGGTTGTAGCAGACTTTTGTTTGTTAGTGGCCAAAGTTAGAGGGGTGTGTGTGAGGGGGAAGGAGGTGTCAAAATCTCTTCAGACCTGTGGGAATAAAATATTCCATTGCAAAATAACCATTCCATTGTGGCCTTTTTGGTAACACGAAGATGCTCGTAAAACAAAAAATAGCTTTTGATTGAAATATTTGGACAACTCTAAATGGTGCTGAGAATAGTTTGAGTTTGGTGATGTTTTTTTCCCAGGGAAGGAAGGTGGTTGCACCTGTATTTCAGCAATAACTCAGCCTGCCCCCTCTCCTCCTCGGCATCATATCCCTGCCTGCGCTGTGGCAGGAGCAGCTTTGCAGTGATGTGGTGAACGAGGTGAAGGAGCTGTTCCAGACGGAAAAACAACCAAAATACCTTTTCTGTTTGTCTCAGGGTTATTTTGCAGCAGGGTCCCTTCCTTTATGGCTGCACAGATATTCGGCTGGTATCTTGCAGGGCACAGGGAGTGCAAATGGTTGTTTCCTTAGTAGGAATATTTCCCCAAATATCAAATTACAGACAGAGTAAACAGTGTGGGACTGAAAGGTTGCGTATGGCCTGGTTGTTGACAAATCTTTTTTTTTGAAGGGGGTGAGGAGTGGTTTCTTTGGTGCATGATTTTAAATACTTAAATGTATTTTCTGTAGTGCCAGTGAATTTAAGTATCAGGTGCCTCTGTGTGTGTGTGTATATATATTTAAGCTATATATGTGTGTGTGTATATATATATATATCTTAAAAACACCTGAGGTCTAGGTTTACAAAAGTGCGTGTGACTTGCTCAGATTCACATGGTTACAAGGTCACAGCCTGTAATTCAGAATAAAGCCAGCAGCTGTGGTAAAATATGGGAATTTCAAATTCTCAGTCTGCTACCTCATGCAGGGTAAGTTTTGTTAAGCTTTGTTTCACTTTAAGCACAGTTTATTTGTGGAGGAAATAAAGTTGCTTTCATGATTTTGTGATGAAGAGACCATAAATAGTTGAGAGTTATAAATATTGCCTTTAGCCCTTCCCAAAGAACAAAAAATACTTGTTTGAGTTCCTAGTTCAGTTTGTACATAAGTAAGTCTAGGCAGTTGTAACTAATGCTTTTCTGTAAGTTAACAAAATTCAGCCGTGGAGCCCGTTTGTGACTTTTTTTTTTTCATTCTTTTTGTTAAACTTTCTGCATTATCTAGCAAAATACAGCAGCTCTTCAGCACTAGCACTGTCCGGTCCACGCAGGAAGATGGATCAACCCCTTCTGCAGCGAGCACCACCAAAACTGCATCCAAGAGTCAGGATTCAGCAGAAACACCAAAGCAGAAGCTGTTAAACCTCATTGGCAACATGAAAGTAGAAGTGAGCTCCATGAAGAAATTCCAGCAACTGAAAAAACCTGAGACCAACAAGCAGAGTGTGACCCAGCAGGAAGGCCTGGGCAGTAGGAGCAGTGCCCCCCGGAAAGCTGCAGAAGGTTCCCAGCGGTAACGTGTAACAAATACACTCCCTATTTGTCTTCCTCATTTTCAAATTGCTTTTGTCATTATCTAGGACAAGTTACCAAATGCAGAAACGAGTATTTTAAAAGAATTTAGTGTACAAATATACATGGCAGTTTGTTGCTGGGGAGAATCTGGAAGAGGATGTTGTGTTGTTTCTACACTATGCTACTTATTTCTACGGGGGCTCTCTAGAAAAGTAGCATTAGCACCTACCCATGGAAAGTTATTTTAATGGGAGGGAGAAAGTATTATTGTTCACATGAGATCTAGTAAAACTGAAGAGAGAGGGAAAATGTTTTGTAAGAACATCATCACGATTATAGTCCTGTGAGTGCTCTCCTGCGCAGTCTGTGTTGTGTCAGGTTTAGAACACTGCAGTCTGCCTCTGGTCATCTCATCTTCACTTCTTGTCAAATGGCCCGCTGGCCCAGGACTCTTGTTTTCACAGATATAAGAGTAACAGTTTGTCAGGGTCATTTAGTAGCTGGTGAGTAGAGGAACATAGGACAAACATGGGCTTCCCCCATCGCTGGCGTAAGGCATGAAATGAAAATGTCAGTTTAAGTACACTATGGGTTCTTTTTTTGTGTGTGTTTTAATAATCATTTTTTGTCTTTTATAGAAGCAAGCCTTTAAAACGAGAACTAGTGGAGGCTGCTTCTGCAGTCGCCTCCTCTTTACCGCTCAACAAGAAACAGACGGAGTCTGAGTTACTTGCACAACTAAGAAGACATGAAGAAACTACGGATAAACAGAAGATGGGGGGAATTGTTAACATACGGTCTGTATATTGAATGTTATTCTCAATTATACCCAGTTTTCTAATTTTGTACTTTCAACTTGAAGGTGACTGGCTTCTCACTTGCCCAAATGTATCTTTTACAAGTTATCCTTGGAATTTATTATCCTTGTAGTGGGGATATCATTGGTTTGGTTATACTCTACTCATTTACCTTTAGCATTCTTATTCTAAAATGCTTTTGCAAAAATAGATATTTTTTTACTGACCAGGATCCATGTTTTCTTGGATGGGCTAGCAGAATAACAGAGAGTTTTTTATGGCTTCTCAATCTGTCTCACAATGGAGGCACTTGTGGACATTCAGACATTCTGTCTGGACTGGTGAATTTTCGTGACAGCTTCGCTGAACTGAAGCAGAGCAACTCTAAAGCCCCACCCTTCCTCTCAAAAATTTCCAGTCAACCCGAGAAACTCATCTCTTGGCTTAATTCCGTTTCCAGTGCGGCTCTCAAACAGATGAGAAACATTTGTTTGGAAACTGACGGTTGCACGTACTGCTCCTTTTTCTGAAGGATAGCTAAAGACAGGCTCTTGGTTCTGTATTTGGCTAATATTAGGATAGCTGCTCAGAAAATACATCGTTACGTCCAGATGAAACATTGAGCAAAACAGAAAATCGTGTCTTCAGCAAGAGAGGAATGTGTAGTCTTTACGCAGTGTGAAGTTTCAATTGTGGTGGTTTATTCTTGTGGTGATTAAAATGAATTTGCCCCAAAGCAGGATTTAAGTTTGGTCCATTTATTATTATTGTAGGTTGCCATAGAGGTTAGTATAGAATTCGTTTTTGCTGTGTATGTCTATTAGTGAACTGCAAATAGAGAACTGCAAAAATTGGAATTAGCTGACAAAATAGTTATGTTTGCTGCTGACATCCACCTTTCAAGTGAATGAAAACAAGGGAGAATGGGATGGTTACAAGAAGGTGGAGTGAAAGGGAAGCACAGTGCCCCCTGAATTATAACGTTGTTGAGCAAAACGTGTGTTCTTCAGAGGCTGTGAAGGGAAAGGGGAGAAGCTGTGCAAGCTTCCCTTGTAGTCTGGATTGGTGATTCTCTGGCAAGAAAGCTCATGGTTGTTAAGGACAGTGAAGTGAAGCTCTCCCCAGATATGTGAAGTCTGTGGTTTTTAAGGAGGAAAGGAAAGAAGACCATATGGTTTTAGGTAATATACACAAGCCATACACCCATCCAAAGGCTGTGTATATGCTAATTTTTCATGATTCCCTCTTAATTGGAGTATAAATGATCTCAGAAAATAGAGATGTTTATGGGCTTTTGGAGCTAAAATGAATAACTTTAAAGAGAGATTAGGGATCTGACAGGTACAAAAACGTTAGGAGGCACTTTTTAATTAAAGAAGAATAAATAAGGAAATATTTTGTATAAATAATATGTTCATTAAACTCTATTATTAATTATCAGTGAGGCTATGCCATGTCAGTCACTGGGGTTTTTAAAAGAGCAGAGTAGACAGGTGTCTTGGAAGTGGTGTAGTCTGTGGACGACCGACTTAAATGTAGTTGGAACCTTCTTCAGTCCCTGGTAAAATGTGGGGGTCATATGAAGACTGACCAAACTCCTGTGTGCAGAGCCAGGCCTCATGTGCCCCTGCCCCTGCAGCGTGTGTGCTCTTGCAAATGTGGTTGGTTTGCCCCCTGGCAGCAAGGGTTCTCTTTCCTCACCACCCATTGCTCTTCTCCTGAAGCACTGCCCAGCTCTGGCTGCTCTGGAAGGCAGAAGGTGTCAAAGGAAACTGTAAAGTAAGCAGAAGGGGTTTTCTTCCTTTAAAAGAAAGCTTGAATCCTCAAGAAATCGGCAAGCTTAAGTCCCCACGTTGTGTGTCTTTGTATAGTTGCTAGATGGCTTCAGGTATGTCATTATAAAGTACTCAATCTGTGGTCAGAAAGAGGCAGTTTCATTCCGTAGGTAGCCTTGTTGGTTGTCTAGGAATAACATAGCTGGTTTGTTGTGCCTTTGAATTGGCTAATTTTCCTTTATTCCCACCTGGGAACATGTGTTAGTCTTCATCATATATTGTAAAGTTTTGTTTTCTTCCTTAATAGTCAGCTAGGTGAACATTTTGAAACTGTACCAGTGGATGAGGTCTCTAGGAAGAGCAGCCACTCCTGATGATTTGGAGGATTGATAAGTTAATTAGTGGTAACATGCCTCGGTTCGACTCTGAGGTGAATTTTGTACTATTACCTTTCTACTCAATGCAAAAAGAAAAAAAAAAAGTTCCTAAAAAGCAGTTCCAGGCAAGCAGGGTTGCCTGGGCATAGCTTTATCTTCCAGAATATGTCAACCAATAAAAGGGACTGAAATGCTTCTAATATATTAGAAAGTAATCTCATTTATTCAAGTGTGACTGTTTTGCCCTTATTTTTGTTTGACAACAAGGGGATAAGGGTTGCTAAGCTTTTCGTTTTATTCCTGAAAGTTTTACAATTTACATTGATGTACTGAAAAAGCCAATATAAATTCATCCTTTATTCACAACTTGAAAATCAGTTTAAAAATTAGATTAGAGGTCTGCACAACCGTTAGAATCATTTAATATAGCACTCGGGTGCAGCAAATTGGAGTAGTGCTACTGAGTTTTAGGAAGGTATGAAATAAATCAGACGTTGTTGGTTTTTTCCCTTTGTATTGAGTTTTTTTGGGATATGATGTGTCCTCCAGAGGTCACTGTTGTACCCAGGCTTCTCCCATCCCCTGTTTTGTAGCAGTTGAGGACAGCGTGTTCAGGAGGAGGGGAAAATATTAATGATACAGGAATTTATTTTTCTCAGTGTGGGATGAAGTTTCGCTCAGTGGAAATTACAACAGCAGTATATTAAAATAAAACCAGTGGCACGGCCAGTTGAGATTTCAGCTCCTGTTTTGGGTGAATCAGAAGAAAAGGAATTCAGAGCTTAAGCTCTGAATTCTTAATTATACCTTAAGCTCCCCATGTCTTTATTTTAGTGTTGTGATTATTGGTTGGTATTTAGGAAAGAGAATCTGTTTGGTGTAAAAGTTCTACATCTTTCCAGAAGGCATAAGTATTTAGGAACATTTTTAACCTCGTGCTGGGACATGGGCTAATATCATGTACTGTCTGACCACTATAGACACTGGAGCTGGAGTAGGAGTTTGTCATCTGACATTTTTCATTGTAGAAGGGATCAAAAATATCTCCGTAGTTTTGCTTTTAGTTAATGTAGAAGACACAAATATGAACATTTTTACCATTAATGTTCCTATACCCACGATGTGCTGACTTTAGGAGACTGCCATGAGCGGTTTGGTACCGCTAACTGCGTGTGCAGGTAGTTTGGTAGCACAGTCTGTCCGGAGGGAAGCATGACCTGCTGTGCAAAGCCATAAATAACCTGAGCTGCAGCGTGAGGAGAGCGTCTCGAAGGCAGCCTGAGCCCGTGCAGCCCAGCAGGGCTGCGGCCTCGAGGGCTCTGCCAGGTCCCAAGGGCTCGTGTTAGCCCGGCCCTCAGGTGTGTCGAGTTCCTGGCCTGGCAGCAGCCCACTGATGCCAGGAGTCACCTCATAAATATCTTCTAACATGGTAGAGATGTGGGTAAAGTTGGGTTAGTTTTTTTTCTTTAAGGGTAAAATGTTGACATCTGAAAATTACTTTTTGGGTGCCTTTCTCTTCAGAGCAGATGCTTGAGGAGCATTGCTGTTCTGGATCTGCCTTTCAAAACCACATCTAAGACTGAAGAGAAGTCCTCCTGAGTTGCTGTGGTGATTAGCTTTTACAATTTCCAGAAGTATTTATTGGTATTAAAATCTCTGTTGACTTAAGCTACCAAAACCATCGTTTGGATTTTAGTCACATTTTTAAGAAAATGAATGTGCAATGCTTTTTACTTTTCCTATTTTTATTTTTGAGATCATCTTTATAGCTTAGAACTTGAGCATTGCGATTTTGGGTGGCGTCACTTTCTTGACCTGCTAGCAGCTAGGAGAAGAGGGCAGACACAAGGAAGAATAACCAGCTGGGGCTTTGCCAAGGGGCAGACATACAAATTAAAGGGACTGATTGACTGAGGCATAGAGGGTTTATATTTTGGCCTTCATTCTCAAAAAGAGCTGCAAACTGCACTGGAAAAGACCAGAGCGTTTGCTCTTTGTGCATGGTTTTTAACTTGAGAATCGTGAGGGGGAATGTGGCCTGTTGATGTGGTATAACTGCACAGTGCAGCACCTTGCAGGGGATCAGGAAAAGTGACCTACTTATTAGGGTGGCACGAGTGACCCGGGTCAGCTGATGTGTGGAGGCAGCTCCACTGCTCTGAGTGGAGTTGGTTCCTTTCCAAAAATTGTTTTTTTTAAATCCTTGTTGTCTTGTCTCCAGAGAAATTCCTCATTTACTTGAGTACAACATGTCTAATGTATGTGAAATGATGGTTCTTTTTTAGGTGGTAGCTAGATAATTTCAAAGATAACTTGTTGCAGGTTTAATAGGTTAAAATAGTGCTTTTCGTTTAGGTATGTAGTATGTAACCACTGAGTTTGCTTAAAAGGTTAGACTTCTATATCTGATGACGTGGAAAAAAAGAAGGCTATGTGTGCAAGGAATGTCTAATTCTGTTTTATAGACTTACAAAATAGTTTGGAGTAGGAATAGGGAGTAGTTTGCCTTATAAATGCACAGGATAAAACTTCCTGCCTTGTTGTTCTTGTTGAGTTTTTATGCTCACGTTTTTGATTTCAGCAACGTTATTTCAGACATGACAATTAAGAGAGAGTCCCCAGCCCAGAGAGGTGCAAGGATATCCAATCTCATTTCTTTGGAGTTCGAAGAGGATGGGAAAAGAATCAAGTCTGAACGAGTCGCATCTCAGTCTTCTGATTCCAGAAGGTATTTTCTGTTGTGTTCACTCCCACTTCCCAGAGTAAGCAAAAACTTAACAATGGACAGTGCTTTAAAGTTAGTCACAAGTATTCATGAGTCCGTGATTCATGACACTTCAAAGCTTAAAGAACATATTTGCCTTTTTTCCTCAAAAAACAACTTTATCAGCACTGAAATTAAATTGTGTGATAACTCGTTAGTATTAACCAGCTAGTCAAATAAATTGCACTTTTTGTCAGTAAGTCTTGGATAACTAAAAAAGCTTAGTGCTGAAAGGTAACCTTGTTTTGTTTAACTACATCAAGTTATTTGCCCTTCTGCAAGATGTAATTTTATTTCACTTTGGTAACTATTTTTAGATGGAGACTTTGAAGATTTATTATCACATGATGGAAAACTTGAAAAAACGTTCTATTTTCAAGAATACTGCTTTTTTAAGAGACTTTTAAAGATTTTTTTTGTAACCCTCATATTGCACCTAATAAGTCATTTTATAACTGATTTCTCTACTGATGAGATGCCTGTGGCATTCTAATTGTTTATAAACGAACTTCATAATTTACATGGTGATTTCAGGGTACTCTTTAAAAATGACTTACTGCTGTTTTTTGTGACCAGCGCACTATTTAGTGAAATAAGTTAGTGCTCTTATTTGTTTTAGCCTTATAAACTGTGCTTTCATGCCTACATTCTTTTGATTTCCCATGGCAGTCACATGATTACCCAGTTTTTCAATATATTACTTCTCCAGCAATTCCATTTTCAGTAAGATTAACTTCTTTACAAATAACTTATACATGACTTTACTTGGAATTAGGAATTAGAAAGTGAAGTGATTGGTGTTTGGGTGGATGATGCTGAAAACAGAATTTGGATATCTAAGAAAAAATAAGCAAAAATAGGCATAAACATAAGCAAAAAGTTATGGGCAAGCAGAAGTGCAGTACTCTGCCCTCTTTGGCTATTTCAGCATATCATAGAGAATGTTATAATTTATTGAAAAAATTGAAATATATACACCATATAAATCATGCAAAAGTCCCAAAGAAGTGAACGTAGTCATTAGAAGAACTTGACGTGCTTGCTGAAATATTTCCAAGTAACTCCTTTTTCTTGAACTACTTATTTGCTTATCCAGTGTATGTTCTTTTATAAAGAATAAGCTGTAAACTGTTTTTATTGATTAAAATAGTCCAAGGTAAAATAAATCTCAATGTATATTTAAGAAGATTTATTAAATAATTTATGAAGTCGGAGGAGCTGTCTCACCTCCTTTGTGTGATTAAGCTGTACTTTGTATGTTAATATTACTTACCTAAGGAACAGTGCCCTAAAGAGTTTTTTGAATATCTGTATTGGAGAAACTATCTTCAGTTTCAGTCTTAGGTTTCCTCCTGGAGCCTTGAAAATGGAACCGTTGTGTATGTCTGTTGAAAATATGCAAGTAAATGGTTAGGAAGATAGACACATGTTAAAATAGAGTTGGTAGATTAAAAAAAAAATGATGTTGCTTTATAGCAATTTGAACTAGTCATTTTTAAAATAAATGTTCTTCCAAGTCAGGCTTGTATCTTGAGCCAGTGTTATGGGGAGTTAGGCACAGAGATAGGAAAATGTAATCCCAAATCAACATTCTTTTAAGACTGTGTAATTAGGTTGCTCTGTGCTGAAATCAATCCAAGGTGGTTACATCAGTAAAAAGTAATATGACAAGAGGAGGTTTTGCATTAGTAGCTCTGGCCATCAGAGATCTGCAGGAAAAGGAAAGAGGTGAAGTTTAAGGTCAGGAAAGGCACGCGTTGCTAGGCTAGCAGGGAATAAGTAATAATAAAAAGTAGAATCTGTTGGAATTTCAGTGGAAGCCTACAAAACCAAGAAAGGTTATATAGTTAAACAATAATTTATTTTGCAGTTTGCATTATACAGTCAAGACATTGTTTTTTGTGTTTTGTTTTGTTTTCCATTTTATGTATATGAAAGTTCAGTCTGTTTAGCTGTTAATCTACTGTTAGATATTTCATTCCATAGGGACTCTGCTGAATGTAAATATGATTAAAAATAGATGGTCAGAATAAAATATTATATCAAGAAAGCACTGAGGTGATGGTGCTTAAATATATCCCGGAACTGTGCTCCGAGCGTTTGCTGTATGGCAGAGAAGGAAAGATGGCAGGGTAATCTTCCAGAAATTCTATTTATGTAATAAAGCAGAATTATTTGATTTAGCTGTTGCCTCTTCTTCCTGAATTGTGCAATACAGAAAAAAAAATCTCCAAATTCACTTTCTCGATGCAGCTTTGTAAAATTGCTCAAGTACTGTGGTTTGACACTGTTTAATTTTACTCAAATGCTTAATTACTTGGTGAAAAATGACTGCAAAGATTACATTTGGTTTATGCTCATTCTCACCTATGTTTAGGGAAGTTGTGTTACAGAGTAATACTTCAACCGTAAATACAGCTTAAAAGCCTTAGGAGTTAGTGAGAGATACTATCTCACTTTTTTCTTTTTTTTCCCCAGAGATATGTTAGTTTCACAAGAATATTTTGTGCCTTTTTTTTTTTTTTTAAATCTGGCAAAATTGTGAGGTATTGTGAAATACTAAAATATCATTTTTCTTTTTTTTTTTTTTTTGTTTTTTTGTTTATAGGAGTCTCAAAGTAGGAAGGAGACTTAATATTTTCACCAAGACTTCTCCAGATACAGAAAAAACACTGACAACAGGTTAGTAGAAATTCAATAATGAAAAATCCAGAGAGGACAAGTTCTGAATTTTTAGAGTATCAGGGCATTCATTGTTGTGGTCTGTTAGTTTCCTTCTTTAGTACCCATAAAAATAAAAAAGAATACTATAACTCTGCTTCTTAATATGCAAAATACCACACAGTGACAATGTTTTCTGAAGTAACTGGAACGCTCTGCTCTTGAAGGTAAAACTAGCTTTTTATCACTTAGACTAGTTGCATCTTTGGTACGTATTAAAACAGTTTGGAGAGTGTGTATAGTGGCTCCCATTAGGTATTTATTTATTCAAGTTGCAAACTTGTTGCACTTCTTTTATGGCAAAGAAGCACAAAGCTGTAATTCCAGGGAAGCAAGTGTGCTCTGGAGCTGCCTAGGTTTAAGCAGTGGGGACCTAAACTAGACCATGGACTTGATTTCTTTGTGGCCTTCTTTTATTTACAGAATTAGCCTGAAAGATCCTGTAGAAGCTGACCACAAATGCTCTGCTTTACTCATGGTAGCTAATTCCCCGCATACACAAGCACCTGTAGAAGAAACAATAGAGAAATCCTCTCTGGTACCTTAGAAAATAGTACTTAGTTGTTTTAAGAGTAGGATTTTTAGTTTTTTCCAGCTTCTAGCTCAGTAATTCTCTCCTTTTTTATATTTGAAATTGCAGGGAGAAATTAAAGGTTTACTCTAATTTATTTGGTAAAATGTCAGCCAGTGCTATTTGTGTATTATCGAGCAGCTGTGTGCTCTCTGAATGCAGGCAGTCACCTCTGCATTGGGCTGTGAAGGCTGCTTACTAGAATGGGATTCAATTTGCTGTTTTTCAGGACTATAGATTTCTGTAAAATCTGTCTGTTTTGCATATAAATAGAGTGAATGATACAGTATTCTTCTAGCAGATTGCCAAAAGTCTCCTATGAGTAACTATAGCTTGATTTGAATCAAATGTGCTCAGGTAAAACGTTGAGAATCTCTAATGTTTCATAAGTTATCTTTTGTATGAGCATATGTAAAAGCAGTAGCACGCAGTAGTCACACTAAATATAAAATTTAGCCTGCAATTTGTGCACAGTCCAGCTCTGCAGAAAGTGTGAGAGTGCAAGTAGACTTGGAGTTTTTAATTAGATACCAAGAAAAAAAGTTTCTTTCAGCTTTTTCTGTGGCATTGCTCTATCTGATTTCTGTTAGCCTTGAGGGAAGCTATAGTAAACTCTAAGCTAGAAACTTCAGTACAAGACTTACTAAGCCTGTTAACAAAACCATATTTTTTTTTGCCATAATCTCAGGAAATACCAGCATGATACTTAATACTTTGATTCATCTGCTCTCACTTTCTTCTTCTTGGCTAATATTAGTGGATATCATGACTCAAACTATTGTTTAGAATGAAAGAAAAGCAACTTCTGTGTTGTGCATTGAATATTTACTTTGCAAGCCTAAATGTTAACTGCAAAATAAATTGGCACCGAGCAAGTTTTTCATAACTCAGCATGAAATACCATTTATGGTTTTCTGTTTCATAGAGGTGAAAGTACAATATTTATTACCTTGCTCTGAGATCGAAAATTTAAGTTTCTGCAGTCTTCTATTATTAGATTTATTAGTAACAAATTGTTAGAAGATGTATGTTAACGTGTGGGCAATAATTCTATTTTGGTGTGTTTCCCTTGTCCTTTATTTATTATTTATGTTTTTATTCCTGCCTCCAGCACTCAAAGTTGCTGAGAAATGCAGTTCTGGTAGTTTCTATGCTAAGTCTAAGTAAGAATAATTTGAAAAAGTATTTTCTCATTTGACATACACACAAATATATTTTTTTCACCATGCAGAATTTCTTTGATGGTTATTGCTTTCTCTTAAAAGGAGAGAAAATACATTTTTTAATCTGGTTGAATCCTAGGCCACCGAGCCACAGGTATAATTATTTCTGAATTTCACATACTTTAGGGTAGTAAAATTAGCCCTGATTCACTTAAAAATGAATTCAGACCAAAATCTCCGTCCCTCTGAGTTCAGGGTGACCTGATGGGGCATGAGACAAGAATGCCAAGGAATGCTGGACTTCAGTGCACTGGCCTGAGGCATTTCCAGCAGTTCTCCCAGTCTCGTGGTTCTACCTCTTTGCCTTTATTTTGGTGATAGAGTTCAGGGCTTGTGAGAAGTTCTGCTGGGGTGGAGAGTTCCCTCAGTGTAACTGTGCTACTATGAGTACACCTTGAGGAACAAGTTCTTTCTTAAAGTTAATTAAGGTTCTGCAATTAAAATTCCCTTTTAATCCATCAGGAGAGTTGCATCCCTCAGGGAACTGTTTGATATTGAGAGAAACAAACGATTCAGGTTTTCTCAAGCCCAAGGGACAAATTTGGGATATTTGTTAAGGTGTGGAAGGAGTTACCGTCGTTTGTAGATTAAGAGCTGTTTCCCCGAATGAGTGTAAAGGGTGAAAATACCTGAACACTCCAGGAGTAAGCAAGGTACTTGTAGCAAATAGTTCAGCAATTAAGCTCAAAGTTTGTCATATGTGCAATTTGTGGAAGACAAAGGAAAAAACAATTGTGAATAATTGAATTCCTGCTCTGGGGGCATTTCAGCAGCGTGAGGGAGCATCATGAGAAAGATGGTGCTAACCTCCAGAAAAACCTGCACAATTGAAAGTACTAGTTTTTGTAAAGATTAATGTTAAAGGATATATGTTATTTTAGCCAGTGAGAAATCTTCAACATGTTTTCAGATGTTTAAAAAAATAGTTTTTTTCTTTCTTAGCATCATCACCAACCATTTGGGATTTGGAATTTGCAAAGGAGATTGCTGCAGTGACTGAGCAGCCTCCCCGAAATGGTTTTGAGGAAATGATCCAGTGGACAAAGGAAGGAATACTGTGGGAATTCCCAATTGACAATGAAGCTGGTACGTGCACTGTTGACGCTTATTACTTGGCTCTATTTACTTTTTTGAGAATTGGAGCAGGTTAGGACCCGTGACAACTTTAACGTAGTATTTCAGCTGCAGATCATGCATTTGACAGTTAAATAAATAAATAAAAGTAACTCTCCAACAGATCAGAGGGGAGATTATCCCAGTCTGGCACAGAGGTGAAGTCCTGTGGCTGTTTGGGCTGGTCTAAGGCCTGGCTGCTGCTGAAAAGGGGAGGATTTGACCTCTTTTCACTCTTTCTTGCACTCTTTTCCCTGATAATTTTAACACCCCACAGACCATTCAAATCTGTTACATAATTCCTCTTACTATGAAATTTCTTTAAGAGAAGCTTCTAGCAGAAGAAGGAGAATCTTAAAACTGCTGTGCATGTTTTTTTTTATAGTGCTTTTTCTGTTCTTTGGCATGGTTCTGAGACAAAGTGGCTAGCAGGACCCTAATCAACTCTCTGCCAGTTCCATATCTGCGCTAGCTGAGTGCTAAGCAGTCGTTTGCTTCCTTTGTTCTGTCTGCTTCATAAGAAAAAAACAGTCTCACCATTCACTCACTCTGGGCATCTATCTTAACTAGACATCTTTGTGTGCTGTATTTGCTTCGTTTTCCATTAAAAAGAGAGAGTGCTCTGTGTGAACTAAAAAAGGATGGGAAGAACAACTACAGAAAGCCAGTGAATACTTTAGGAGTGGGGACTCCATAACTTCAGGGGAAGTTTGGCTGTGTATGGGTTTTTTTTGTTTTGTTTTTAAGCCTTTAAAGACATCAAACAAAACTACTTTAGAATGATTCAGTCACTGAACACAAAACAGGTTAGTATCTGAAGCTAGGAGTCTTTGAAAATCTGTCATATACTGAGTTGCAAATTGCATAATGCGATTCATTGTTTCTTAATGTTTATTCTCATCCTATTTTGGCAGTTCCTTTGTAGAATTTAATCACTGCTCCAAATTGATCTGTTCTATCGCGTAGAAATCCAAGCATATTCTAGTCAGGTTTTTGCAAGCCTAAAAATCATTTGGGGCCAGTGGTTTCTGTGTTGTGGTAGCGTGGCTGGGTCCCCGCTGTCTGGGCACCAAGTGGAGCCGGCGTCTTTGGTGGCCAGTGGTGGTTCTGGTGCAGCGACGCGGCTGGGACCTGCTGTCTGCCATGGGGTGGCCGGTGGACAAAGAGTCTTTGTACGTAGTCAAACAAGAGCCTGTGGCGGTTGGTCCACAAAGGCTGGTCATGTGGAAAATCCCAGTGGAGGCCTCCGAAATGTCTGACCCCTCAGGTTGAAATATCAAGTCAATAAATTTCATTCTGTCAAACTGCCAGCTCTGTTACCGATCAGGACAGCTATGTCCAAGTACAGTCAGAAGCTTGAGAGTCTCACTACAAGAAATTCAACATACCATCATTTCAGTAGC